TCTCCTTCTCCTAGGAGTACTCTCAGTCTTGAGAGGTCATCAACCTCCTTGAAACCTGGGATTACAGAGTTCAACTTGTTCCAGTAAATGCTCCTTACTTGGTTGAATGTTTGGCACTTCAGGAGGAAGTGCATCTCTGTCTCAGTCTCACCTGTCGTACAGTGACCACATGTTCTGTTCTCTTTTGGTTGCCAGGATCTTTTGAGTCTTCCTGTTTCGATTGCCAGTTTGTGGTCACTGAGCCTGTACTTGGTTAGGATCTGTCTCTGCTTTCTATCTCTGACACTCCCTGTCTCACTCCCTGTCTCTCTCTCTGTCTGCAGGCCACCAGTAACCCGATCTTCCTGAGCAGCGTGTCGTTCTTCCAGGACTCTCTGATCACGCAGCAGACTCAGGTCAAACTGTCTGTCTACGATGTGAAGGACCGCACACAGGGCACGGTAAACAATCACACAAATACACTTTCTTCCAAAACCACCTGTCTCCACTGTCTTACAAGTCTAGACTCATTGGTGAAATGTAACTAAGTACAATAATAAGGTACAAGCTCTTAACTTGAGTATTTCTATTGTATGCAACTTTGTACTTAAACTCAATTGTATCTACAAGAACAATATTGTACTTATTTTTGTACTTAAGTTACTTTTCAGATTACAAATCTTTGTAAGGCAAGGCAAGGCAAGTTTATTTATATAGCACCTTTCAACACAAGGCAATTCAAGGTGCTTTACAAAAATGAAAAAAATTCAGACAAAGGCATTTAAAAACAGTAAAACATAATAAAATAAACATTAAAAGAAAAATAAATGAATAAAAAGTACATGAATAAAAAGTTACAGTGCAGTTTAAGATATGAATAGTTCACACAGAAGTTCCACTTTACTGATGAACAGAACGGCTCAGTTTCAATTAAAAGCAGCGACAAAAAGATAAGTCTTCAGCCTGGATTTAAAAGTAGTCAGTTTGTACAATTCCATTTAGTGAAAAACATGTATCTCCAAATGTTGTCATTTTTTATTTGGATGTTTCTGATAAACTGAAGGATGGACATTTCCATAGCAATGTCCATCCTTCAGTTTATCTTAAGCATCTACAGTATAACAGTCGAATGCAAAACACACTAATGCAGTAATATTGATACAAAAAACATACAGTAATAATAAACATAGTAGTACCTTTACTTTGAGTATATTTAGCTGATAATACTTTGATGATTGGTCTTATGTAAGGTTCTGAACGCAGCACTTCTAATGAAGCTGAGTCATTTTACAGTGTAGATTCTGATAATAAGGATCTTAATTCTTCCTCCATCTCTGCCTACACTAATCTGAGTGAAATCCTTCTAATCTCTTGCTGACAGATGTACATGCTGGGCACGTCCATGTTCTCGGTGAAGGAGCTGCTGCAGGACAAACACCACAGACTGCACCTGACTCTCAGGTAACAGGAAACACACTTCCCTCTATCAGCGACTCAATGACAGCCCCTGCTTGCTGGATGCGTGTCTGATTTTCTCGATGTCACTGTGGGTCAGGTCGGGGGAGAACGAGCGGGTCGGAAACATCACGGTCATCGCCTGGCAGATCGAGGAGAAGAGAGAGCAGAGAGCTCCTGTGGCTCGACTCCAGAGAGGAGACACGGTGAACGGCAGGGTGAGGAAACACTTTCACTTACTACAACTACATTGATTTGTTGATTCATTATTTTATTTTATACAATGCTTACTTACTTATAGTAAAATACCATAATGTAAAAATCTATATTTCATTAGTTATATTGAGCAGGTATAGTGATATTATTGTGCTTTTTGCATGATCATGTTTAAAGAATAAGAGAAATAATCAGCCCCAATTTTCGTCATTGATCTATTATTTCAGTCCCCCTTTTTAGTGGAGTAATACAAATACAAATTCTAATAAAATGAAGTTCAGCTTCTCAATTGTGAAAAAAAACCAAATATGTTTACATTCTGGATTTTTGATTGGACAAACAAACAATTTTATGAAATCACCTTTGGCTTTCAAACACATTTTTAAAAACCTTTTTCAGGCTAAACATATTGGTTGAATAACTGATAATAATCTTTATATTTGTCCCATCAAAACTAATTAACCTCATAATGTTTTGCCTGGCCGAGTAGTATTCTTCTTTTTAAATAACAGGTCACAAATCAATGATTAAGAAAAAAAAACACGTGAACAATATTGGATTTTTCTTTTGTGTGTGTGTGTGTGTGTGTGTGTGTGTGTGTGTGTGTGTGTGTGTGTGTGTGTGTGTGTGTGTGTGTGTCAGATGGTTCTCTCTGTTGATGCGAGCCTGACTGAACCCATGGCCATTAAATCCAAGTCTTCCTCTCTGTGTAAAGACCCTGTGCTGAAGGCTGGTGAGTGTGAGCTACATATAAACCTCCTGTCTGACAATGAGTGACAGTATGGTGACTCACGGCTGTGGTTCTACGTGTCGGTCTGCTTCAGTGTTCGGGGGCGTGATGTCACGAACGTACCGGTTCCCCACCACAGACGGTAACCACCTCCGGACCCTGGAGCAGATGGCCGAGAGTGCGCTCTCTCTTCATATTCCCCGACAGTTTGTCAAGCTGCTGCTGGAGGAAGACGCCGTCAGGTAAAATATCGCGACTGGTCAGATTCATGTTGCAATTTCATGCATTGTATATAGGGAAGAAAGGAATCTGTAATGTCTCTTTTGGTAAATGAGTGTGTGATATCTGAACTGTTTATCCTGTATGTACTCATTGACGGTATCAGCTTCATACAGTGAAAGAGACATTATCTTAATGATTCCCACTGCGTCCGTTATTGCTAATGGTTCCTTGTAATGTGGGAGGTTTGAGGAGTTGGACTTGCACAGCTGCAGATGTTAATTGCAGGAACTGTGAGCTCATCAGAGCATCATGTGGATGACTTGCTGGGAAACGCTTCTGTGCGGTCAAGGGTGTGTGTGAGCTGGAGGAGCTGATGGTAAATGTGTGTGTGTGTGTGTGTGTGTGTGTGTGTGTGTGTGTGTGTGTGTGTGTGTGTGTGTGTGTGTGTGTGTGTGTGTGTGTGTGTGTGTGTGTGTGTGTGTACTTAGTGCAGCGGGATTGAAGCCAGCAGTCCCTCATGTGACCCTCTGTCTCCATTCCTTATCAACAGCACTTTGTCGCCCCGCTCCTCTGTCAGTGCTGTGTGTCTGCAGCACCTCCCTGCCTGATAGCCAACAGCCGCCTACACACACCTGCACTGTGTCACACCGTGTCACACACACACACACACACACACACACACACACACACACACACACACACACACACACACACACACACACACACACACAC